ATCTGGTAGACAAACAGTGACCAGATCAATACACAAGATAATGTTCAACGCTAAGAAAGCTGCAATTCACACATATTGTCTTTGCAAAAGCCTTTAGAGATTTGACAGATTATTCACAAATCAATAAAAAAAACAGATATTTTAGTAGCAGCTGTTGTGTTAAACATTTAATCTTGTGTTTTTACATCTTCTTTTTTTTTTACATTATTATTCAACATTCATTATTATGCATGATGGATGTTATGCTTATGCCGAACTTTAAATTACTTACCGTATAAAGCATGTAAAAGTCAAACTGCTCTATAATATAGAGCAGTCCCTCCAAAAAGCACAGTGTACTTACAATGTAAGATGGGAAAATATTGTTTTTGCCTATATTTAAGTATTTGTGGGTAAATAATGACAATAATAAATTACATTGTAATTTCAAATAAAATACATTAAAATTCCATTTAATTACAGGACTGTGTTATAAAGTATTATCCATGTGTTTGGACTCTCCCGTATTTGGGGAGAATATCCATCCACCCTAGATTTAAACCTGGTACTTTCTTGCTGAACGAAATCCTTGACATATGAAAGGAAGTGTTCCTAATAACAGTTGCAGGAACAACATTCAGGAACAAGAAACAAGAGGCAGAGTGACAGCTCTTTCTTTTTTCCACCTCCTCCCCCCTGAGAAGCAGATCAGGCGAGGAGGCGCATAAAAGCCAATAGGAGAGCCTGCTGCAAGCGTAGATGCATGGTGCCGTGGACACTGAGATAAAAATATAATAACAATAATGATAAAAATAATCAAATATTTAACAGTGTTTCTCCACGATACGAGCAGTAAAATGTTCTTGTGTAGCCCATTAAAAATAAATAAATAAATGAAACCCCCACACATGCGTTTCCTCCTTTATTTCCGTGCATTTCAGGTGCTTTTTTCTCCTGTTTAACCAAATGTAAGATATAAACTACAGCTCCCGGGGTGCCTCTGGTGACCCTTGCTTGCAGGCTGCATCAGTGTGAATTTGGCGCTGAGCTGAGGAGCTGGATCCACCGAGAATTTAAAAGAAAAAAAGGGCAGAGCGCTTTTGTTAAACCAGAGGAAGAGGGTGCTAGAGATTATTATGAAGAAGAGGACAGGAAGGGGGTTGCGATCAGATTGAGGTTTTCGGGTCCTCACACTGACGAAGAGCCCCGCGTTGGGATTGGGCAGCGACCAGATCGAGTCCTCCTCCTCCTCCTCCTCTCTGTGGAGAATTGCGTTAAAACGAAAAGGGAAAGGCCTGAGCTTTACCAACATCACAGGATTATTATTATTATTTTTTTATTATTTTTGTACCCCCCTCCTTCTCCTCCTCCTCCTCCTCCTGTAGATTAAACGAGGAAGCATTGCTGGCTGGTGTATGTGTTTAGAATGGGACACGCTGAAGGTATTGACATTTTTTTTGTGTATTTTCCTGCATCTTTCGACTCGCTATCAAAATCCGTGCTGCTGCTGGTGCTACTGCTCAGTGTTGGCCGCCTCTGCATGCTGCATCTCCTCGTTTTCAGTCGTAGCCAGCTTGCTTTCGGGCACATTTTTCCCCCACAAACCGTCAGTGATGGAGGTATAATCACGGCAGACAATTTGATTTAAAGGGGTACCAGGCAGCCATATTGGCAGCGTTAGCGTTAGCCTACCCAACATTAGCTTTCTCCCCCCCCCTCCTCCCCTTCCACCTCCTTTCATCTTGTTTCATGTGCGCTTAGATGGATTAGAAAACATTAATAAATGGAAATGTGTCCCCGAGTGTGTCAGAAAGACAAACAGCCACATCCCCGTCGTGTGCCTCGCTTTTTAACCGTTTAAACGGCTCCTGTATTTCCGTTTCGATGCCTTTGGTGCCAGGTAGCTTCAAGCTAACATCGCAGGAAGCTGTAAGATCAGTCATTGAAACCTTGTTATGCCCATGCATGCACCCGTCTTTTTTTGTTATGTTTGAATAAAATAACACATCTATAGCCAACTATTGATCTCTGCCACACTATATATACACCCAAGTTATACTACAAGTCCTTATAGGAGACTAGTGACCGCTGGATGACATCTTTTGGATGTTTACATCACCGTTGTTCACCCTTCGCAAAGCTGCTAACAAGTTAAACCGCAACAAGAGGAGCAGATTATCCACTCAACACTTTAAACCTAATTAATTATATCAGCTCTGGTGGTTAAAAGTGTCCAGTGCATGAGGTCAAACCCACCTCTGGTAGCTGCTCTTTTGTTTTGTTTTGTGCAAGCAGGCCACCATGTGTTTGTGTTGATGGAAAATAAACACATAAAAATCACCTAAAGCTTGTGAACAGGAGTTTGCACGACCTCTCAGTATACACTACGAAGATGACCCGAGTTTGTGATGATAATATGGGGATTTATGGGGTCTGCAATTCAGACCACCCTGTGAGTTTATCATAGTAATCATTATAATGAGTATTCTGCAGATCTCCTCAGTGCATCTGTTTAAAAAAAAAAAATCCCACATAATTCAAACTGCTGCTCTAAAACTCAGATTTGAGAAGTAGGAGCCTGGTGAAACTGCCACTGAAGTGACAGTTAATGGTCAGCTAACCCTGAGTTTGTAAGGGAGGAGAGGTGTGTGTTTCTACAAGTCAGAGTTAGAAGTTTCACACGAAAAATAGACACTAAACTAGAAATTTCTAGATATTTTAACCAGAAAACAGCTGATACATGGCAAACCAATTCGGTATAAGGCTGACTTCTTTC